TTTATGGAGGTTGCATTAGAGGTAATGCAGAAAGTAGATCTAGATTTTACTTGTGTTGGTCAACAATACTTCAACATTCAAGAGCTGACTATGAAAATAGAACAATTAATAACTTGCTTTGGAACATTGATCTTAGATTATGTGCACTGAGAACAATTACCTTGACTTGCTATACTATCTTGGTTGGTGATTCACTGATCGTTAACTATTCACCCAAAAAATTGAATGCTGGACTTGCAGAAACTGACTTGCAGATCTATTTGCTATGTGATTATAAGATTGTACCATTTACTGGCTAATTAACTCTGTCTTATTTTGCTAAAAACAATAATTGTGTGGGTTCAAGATTGGCTACCATGTGTTTGTTGAGGGGATGCATTGTGTTACTTAATTGTGCTTGACTCTTGATGGGTTACCATGGCCTTGCTAAGGAACAATTACAAGTTTACTGTTGTTGCATTGTTAATGCTTAGGTTTAGATTGCTTGCTTTGGGTTTCTGCCCTATGCCATTGTCAAAGTAATGGAGTGCTTGCAAATTGTGCATTTTTTTTTACCAGCTTATTAGTTAATCAGTTACAGTTTTTTCAGATTATTTTAATAAAATGCTGAATTTTCTGTTTTTGTTTTGGCTTCATGTTGTGCAGAGTTATGACCTTGCAATGGCTGCAGATGAAGTTCCTGCTGTGAGTATTTCTGAAACCTTTCTATGTATACTTGATTTGGCTCATGTGTTTGTTTAGTTGTTGTTTTTAGCTGATGCTAAATTTGCTATGTTCATTTCACATTTTTCCACTTATTAAATAAGCTGGCAGTATGCCTTGTCTGGATGTGGTTTTTATTGTTCCTATTGATGCATTGTGTGGGTTCAAGATTGGTTACCATGGGTTTGTTGAGGGGATGCATTGTGTTAGCAAAGTGATGCCAAGCTAGGCAGCTTGATTTTGTGTTATGCTACCTTTATTGTTTTTTCTTCTTTGTTGTATCATGTTGCATGTCTTAGTTGCTTTTATTAGCTGAGTATATATGAGGTAGCTGTTTTTTTTTAAAAAGAATGCAGTTCCTTTGGCTACATGAGCATGATACCGTGTTATTAGATGCTTTTATAAATTGCGTATGTACTTAGTTTATTATGGCTAGGGTATAAAATTACAATGTTCTTGTGGAATGCGTTTGCCTTTCTAAAAAGATGTCTACGCTAGATGTCTACGCTAGAATCAGTCGCATACATACTTTTCTCATGTCATGGGTGTGCACACAGGTGAGTGGGCATGAAACTCGGAAAGTTTCTATTTCTTGTACCCACCTCCTCCATCAGGTTGTTGCGTACCTGAAACTTCCTGTGCCAGCTTACTATTTGCTGAATGTGAGGAAGAATGCTGTGAAGATTGTCATGGAGACTGATCCAGGTTTGGGTCCTTCTGTGTATGAGGGTGGTCCTGCTACAACAGTTAGGGAATCCCGGGAAAAGGCTGCTGAAAATGATGTTCGTGCTCTTCGGATGGAATTTAGTATTCAGGTTGAGGACTTCACTTCTAGGAAAATCAAAAGACTCGAACGCGTTGAGTTTTTGTATCAGATGAAGCGTATTGAGCTAGAAGCAATTGAAAGAGGGACAGGGCAGGTTCCAGTGAAGTGGCCGGCTGTGCCTGATCATAAGCGCCGAAAGAAATATGTTTGCATTGATTACATGGATGTTTTGCACACCCTGTCTTTCGAAACCAAAGCGCGTATTTCTGAAGTTGACACCTTTAATGTTGGCGTTGGAAAATTTGTATCATGGGTGACAATTTATGGATCTTGAGTTGCTACTGGAGTGGAGTGTTTCTTTAGTGTTGTGCGTGCTGACTTGAAAGCAACTAAGCAAGATGCAGCTAAGAAGGCTGTTGATTTCATACGTACTACATACAATCTTGACATGGTTGATCTGAACTATGGAAATGGGATTTATGCTGGCATAAAATGTTCCCTGGCTAGAGAGAGCTATTTAGCAGCTAAAGAACATGTGTTAGGGATTCAAGGTGCTCTTCAGTTAGCTCCTTTTTTAGTCGAGGAAAGTTGTGTTACGCCTAAGTCTGTTGTCCATAGGATCCCAGCACCTACTCTTCCTCCACCACCACCTCACAAGCCAAGATCAAGGCCATCCTTCAGCGCTCGCTATACTGGCCACCTCTCACCCACACCGGCTGAGTTAGACAGCTTCTTCAAGCGTAGAAAGTTTGAATAGTGTGCTGCTGCATTTCACATAGAGCGATAGCTTTGCATTCTTAGTTTTTAAGTACGCTTATTTTGTTAAGGTTTATAGTTATGGTCTGATTCCATTTTGCTGTACTTGTGTGTACATGTAGTTGGAAAAGACTTGTATTCTATCATTTTGCCATTTAGTTTTATAGCTAAAGCTGCTCTATGTGTACCTGTAATTGGCAAAACTGGTGTACTGATTTTGCTTAGTATAATGTATTGCAACCTTTTGTGGTTAATCAATGATATAAAATTGTTTTGACATGCTTTACAATATTTGAGTGCTTATTTTAAAAGGTTACCAGAATATTTGTATTTAGTACTTTGCACTTTGTATTTTTGGTTTTTTGCTAAACCTTAATACGTAGACACTGGTTTTGGCCAAAATAGATGGCTAATGTGACCAATTTGCATTTCTTCCCAATCCCAGGTTTAATTAGGTGCATTCCTTCCAGCACAGTTTTTTTGCTTGGCAGCTAAACTCCAGCCTTGAACTGTTTGTGCTGCACCAACCTTTTACTGCTACCATGAGTACTACTGCTATCTTTTGCTAAATCTGATTGTTATTTATATACCAACACCAACTCATCAATAACAGAATACACCTAGAAACAAATTTTTTGGGGAGTGAATCTGAATATCTTTAATTATATTCCAGAACGCTGCTTAGTTGCTAAGAAGGGTCCTGCAAAAACTAGGACTAGCAAGCGTTTACAGGGCTTACAAGCTTTGTCTGGGACACCTGTTTCAATAAGGTCATTTGTTGTTCTGGTTGCAAATGTACCCTGCTAATTTACTCGCAGTGTTTGCTCACACTTTTTTTTCACATTCATTTAAATTCCCTATTTGCTTGTATCATACAGAGAACCTAATGAGGCATGCTTAGCAAGAGGTGATCAATTGTCTGCCAGATTGCTGAACAGAAGTAAAAGTAAGCACAATTATATGTCTTTTGAATAAGTACTATGGCTGTGAACTGTAAAGATCTTAGACTGATACTCATAGGGCATGCTAAATGAACACTCCTAACTATAAACCACAGTCTTGAATTATGCATTGCTTTATTGCTGCACTTAGATAACATGGTCTTTTGATTACAGGCCCTCATGTCTTTCCTGTTAATGCACCTGAATTGAATAGTGCACAAACTGCCAGTGAGGCTACTGGAAGGCCACTTTTAGACCAGTGCATGCTGTATCAGAATACTACTAATAATCCGAGAACTAGCAAGCGCAAGCGAGCAATTGCTTCTATGTCTGAACCACCTGTTCCTATAAGGTCTTACTGCTTCTATTTGTCACTAAGACACATATTTTTTTCTATTTAATGGTTAACAACAACACTTCTTTAGCATTGACTGGTTGCTGTGAATATAAGGAAATAGGTGAAACCAGTGAACAAGGCAAAACAAGGAACCTAAAGTTGAAGAAATCACAAACTAAGACAACCAGTAAGTGTACATGGTATAGTTCAGAATAGCATATCATATAGACTTAATAATAACCTCTTCAGATTTGCATTTCTGCTTTTACAACAAATTGAACAATTTTCCCCTGGCAACTCTATAACCCAACATCATCAGGATCTAGAGTAGAGGTTATTCATACATTATAAAGTAGCAAAATCTAAAATGGCTTACAACATAACAAGAACAAGCTAAAATTCAGAGTGCACAATTCCCTGCCAACATTAAGATCATAATAACCATTCTTCATTGTCAAGCCATTTACATGAAAATCCCATAAAATTCTTATTTTGTGTATTATCCCCACCACAAGTGTGGGATGACTATATCACTTTTCACTTCATTTTCTTCGACAATGTCTTTGATCACATCTTCCTGAGATATTCCAGCATCCTCATCATTAACAGTAATGGTGGCATCTTCATTGCAGTTTCTGTTCAGCATTTTGCTCTTTCTTATCTGCACAGAAGGTGCAAATTCACCAGCTTTGCTTGCAACATTCTTTCTAGCTTTTTTCCCTTTACCAAGCTTCCTGATCTTTAAAACTTTAGTTGATATTTCATCTAATTTCCTCTTTAGCTTTGTTATCCTCTTTTCTACATCAGAATGAACAGACATGGCATTAGATAATTTGCCATGTAGATTAGCTTCGCTTAACTCTAACACTCGAAGCCTAGCTTCAATATCATGATTCTGCATTACTGGAAATTTATCCCCATTTCCTTCCATATTCATTTGTTTGCTTTTCTTACCCTCCCCCCCCCCAAAAAAAAAAAAAAAAAAAGAGGATAATCTACACCACAGCTAGCTCAGGAAAAGGTCAGTAGGTTAGCCTGTGGAAACAAAAATACAATTCAAAGTGACCTCTTCCCTTTTATAATGAAATTCATATTAGGTGTTAATATTGCATATAGACTTTTTCAGAAAAGTTTTTTAACAGCAAGCTAAGCTTTGACACAACAGCTAGTTAATTATCATTGTCCATGAGGCAAAAGGTTGACACATAAACACATTATATATGCAGTGACCACTATTAATGCTATCTTAACAACAAAACTGTACATATTACCTTTTCAGTTAGTTTTTAGATGCCTGATTGCTTAGACCTTGCTTCTTACATTTACATATCACAGAGACTGCTGCTGATCTTTCTCAAAAGCAAGTAGTGAAGCAGCCCACTGCTAAGAAGACAAGTAAGTTTTCTTGTCCATATTTCTTAGATTTTTGTTTTGTACTGTTACAAACCAATAAATTAATGTGGCAATTACTCCATGCATAGCAGAATCTCCAGCTGCTATGGTTGGTCTAAAATTACCAGCTGCTCCTCTGAAGCTTAAAGCACCTAGGTATTGTGGGCACTGTAATGCAAAAAAATTTCAGCATGAATCACTGCATTTCTGTTGTGGAAATGGATCAATTGAATTAGCAACTAATGATTATCCTCCTGCATTATATAGACTCTTAACATCTGATGAAGATGATGCACTGCACTTTAGACAATATATCCGCTTATATAATAACTTATTTGCATTTAGCTCATTGGGTGGCAAGTATGATGTAGACACAGAAAAAGGAATTTATGTCTTTAAATTGCATGGCCAGATTTACCATAACTTTCCTGATTTAATCCCTGGTGATAAAGGTCCCAGATATTTGCAGCTCTATTTTTATGATGGCCAATTTGAAGCAACTGCTAGGAAAGACTGCTTTAAACAGATTAGACAGCATATTATAAATATACTTATGGAGGTAACTGAGCATAATCCATACGCTCGTTTTTTCAGATCTTTGAGAGAAATTGACATTGAAGAAGACACACAAATTTTGATCAACAAAAACACTGTTGTAGACCAACGCACCTATAATGCTCCTACAACAGATGAGGTGGCTGTGATCTGGCCTGACGATACATCGTCAAGTGAGTCCAGCAGCCCATACATTGTTGTAAGAGGAAAATCAAACGATCCTCATCGTATATACCATCATTACGGATGTTATGATCCTCTGCAGTACCCACTCTTATTTCCTTATGGTGATTGTGGTTGGAGTCAAGGTATAACTAAAAAAAGCGGCGCATCTCAGGAGCAAGGAAACTCTGCTATGGCCTCTGCAATACATACAGAGGAACATATGCTCGAACAGGCTGCAATACACATAGAGGAAAATGTGCTTGAACATGAAGCAACACGTAAGCTTTTCAACTCAGTAATGAACTTGCTTGTTTTCATCATACCTCTTAGCCTATCATTGTGTGCCTTATCTGACAGACATTGCAAGCATCCTGATTTCAGGTCTAGCAGATGCAAGTGGTACTTCAGCTAGGCATATTTTGCCTCGTGAATATTATGCTTACAAGCTGCAATCTCGGCCAAACAACATGCTTCTTAGAGCAGGTCGGTGTCTTCAGCAATATATAGTCGATATGTATGTGAAGATTGAAAATACTCGCCTAGATTTTTTCCGACACAATCAACATGCAATCAGAGCTGATTTGTACCAGGGGATCTTAGACTCAATTGAGAGTGGCGAAACAAATCCCATGAATGTTGGTCGGCGAGTTATATTACCTCCAACTTTTATTGGTGGTCCACGAGACATGAAGCGCCGCTACTTAAATGCAATGGCTTTGGTTCAGCGATTCGGTAAGCCAGATTTGTTTGTCACAATGACTTGCAATGCTAATTGGCCAGAGATTAAGGCAGAACTGGCTCCTGGGGAAGCAGCGCAAAACCGACCAGATCTTGTTGCTCGTGTTTTCCGGGCAAAGTTGATCTGCTTGAAAAAACAAATAATGAAGAAGCATATTTTTGGAAAAGTTGCTGCTATGATATATGTGGTTGAATTCCAAAAAAGGGGCCTACCTCATGCACACTTTCTCATTATCTTAAAACTAGGCTGCAAGATCCAAAATCCTACAGATTTTGATCGCTTTGTCTCTGCAGAGCTGCCACCTGACAGCTCCCCAGAACTTCGGAAGATTGTGGTACGGCATATGATGCATGGGCCATGTGGAGAAATTAACCCTGAATGTGCATGCATGACTACAAAGCACAATTCTCCCCTGTCTTGTAAATATGGCTACCCGAAACATTTTTTACATGAAACAACGAACCACGATGATGGATATCCCATGTACAAAAGAAGAGATACGGGAGAAAGTGTCCGAATAAGGGTGCAAGCCTTGATAACCGCTGGGTCATTCCATACAATCCATACCTTTCAATGTTATTTGATTTCCATTTGAATGTAGAAGTGTGCTCATCTATTAAGGCTGTGAAGTATCTGTACAAGTATGTTTATAAGGGCCATGATAGGGTTTCTTTCAATGTGGTTGGTACAGAAAAAAAAATTATGAAGATGAAATAGAGAGGTTTCAGTCTGGACGATGGGTGTCACCATGTGAGGCAGCTTGGCGAATTTTTTCCTTTGATCTCTTTGAGATGTACCCACCTGTGCAACAATTGGCAGTGCATCTGGAAAACATGCAAACTGTTCAATTACGTGCTCATGAACAGTTAGATTCTGCCATGCTAAATGAGCGTAAATCCAAAACTCAATTGTCAGAATTTTTTAAGGCAAATGCAGCCTCACCTCAAGGTACAGGATACCTTTACAGCGAATTTATAGAGCACAACAGATGGGATGCCGGTAAGAAAAGATGGTTTCAATGGCAAAACAAGAAACTTGTGGTTGGTCGGCTGGCAAGTGTGACACTAGCAGAAGGAGAGCGATTTTTCTTACGGTTGTTGCTTGTTAATGTACGCAGCCCTAAGTCATTCACTGACCTTCGGACTGTTAATGGATTACTTTGCGCCACTTTTCAAGAAGCAGCTATTAAAAGAGGCTTATGTGAAGAAGACAATGTTGTTCATGCATGCTTGGCTGAAGCAGCAGAAATACACTTGCCAGGAGCCTTACGGCGCTTATTTACAGTTGTTTGTGTGTTCTGCAACCCCACTGACCCAAATAGACTGTGGCAGCGATTCTACAATGACCTATCTGATGATTACAGGCATGCTGATCCTGGGAGCGAATTCCGTGTTAAGTTGCTGACTATATAGTCAATTGAACGGCATTTAGAGTCTATGGGAAAATCATTAGCTCATTTCCATCTTGATCACTTACATGAAGAGCTGCCAGAAGAGCTGAACAGAACAAAAGACATCATTGATGCCTTAGATGCACCTATTCCTCAAGAGTGTATTGATTGTAGAGGCAAACTGAACTCAGCTCAGCAAATTGCATTTGACAGGATTATTTCTCAAGTCCAATCAGGAAAGCCTGGCTGTTTCTTTGTTGATGGTCCTGGAGGAACTGGCAAAACATTCTTATACAATACGTTATACGCAGAGGTTCGCATGTCAGGAAAGATTGTTCTGCCAACATCTACATCAGGGATTGCTGCAGCAAACATCCCTTCTGGAAGAACAGCGCACTCAAGATTTAAGATTCCCCTGGATTCAGAGACATCTCTTGCCTGTGATGTTCCCAAACAAGGCAGCCTAGCTGCTTTAATCAGAGAAACAACTCTTATTATTTGGGATGAAGCTTCAATGGCTAAAAAAGAAAACATTGAATCAGTTGAGCTTTTACTTCGTGACTTTTGTGACGCAGAACAATGATTTGGTGGAAAGATTGTAGTTTTTGGGGGAGATTTTAGGCAGGTTTTGCCAGTTGTTCCTCGCAAAACTCAAAGAGAAGCTGTTGCAGCAAGCCTGGTAAACTCACATATTTGGCCTTGGCTAGAGAAGCTACACCTAACTGAAAACATCAGAGCAAGAGAAGATCCCCCATATGCTTCATTTCTGCTGAGTTTGGGCAATGGCCAGCTGCAATCTAATGGAAATGCTTATGTTCAGGTTCCTCCTCACATTGTGAGTTATTATCATGAGAGTGATGATCCTATCAATCATCTAGCTGCTACTGCATTTCCAGAATTAGAACATGCAGTATTTTCACCAGATATCTTCACAGAGAGAGCCATTCTTACACCATTGAATGATGCAGTTGATGCTATTATCACAGTTCTCATAGACAAATTTCCAGGAAACTCTGTAATTTACAAGAGCTTTGACAGCATGCTAGATGACAATTGTTCCATTTACCCTACAGAGTTCCTAAACCAGCTAGCCCCTGGTGGTATGACTCCGCATGAACTTGTTCTTAAAATAAACAGTCCTGTAATATTGCTCAGAAACATTGATCCAGCAGATGGGCTTTGCAATGGAACGCGTCTTATATGCAAGTCTTTCAGAAGGAATGTAATTGTTTGTTCTATAGCCATTGGTCATCGTCGAGGAGAGCTTGTATTCATTCATCGTGTTAATCTCCGACCTCCATCATCAACAAAATATCCTATTCAGTTTGAGCGAATTCAATTCCCTCTAACTCAGCTTTGCAATGACTGTAAACAAATCTCAAGGCCAGACACTAAGCCAAGTGATAGTTTACTTCCCACAACCATGCTTTTCCCATGGACAGCTATATGTTGCCTCGTCAAGGGCAAAGAAGTCAGCTAAAGTGACTGTGATCACACCATACCCAAATGAACAACACACTTAACCGATCCTGAAAAACGTTGTAGCGTATGATGTCTTGCAATTATCTAGCATAAAATGATACAGGAATGTAAAGGTATAGCTCCCTAATTACTTAATCTGCTAGCCTAATTTTAAATCAGCTATTCTACATGCTGTAACTAACATAATATTTACCATGTTACAAATGCAGGTGCTTTTGCTTCTATATATCTATAATGTAGTTGAGCCTAAGGTTAAGCTTTCTAAATTCTTGTAAGCTCATTTGTGTTAAAGCACAATAAAATGGTTCTAGAGATATTTATGTTTACAGCCATGTATTATGTTATATGATATATACAGTTACTTTTGCACCTATTGCATGTGATTTTTTCCCCACTTTTCTATTTTTAAATACAATCTTAAGTATATTGAAATTGGTAACACAAAAATGGAAATATCCTAGGTTTTCCAACCTTATTACCCTTAAAAAAAATGAATCAGATTTGCTATAAAGACAAATCTAATTTTTGCTTTTGTATTACATCTTTGCTTTTGCAGCTGTATTGCAGCAAAACATCATTCCTTCTATTACCCACAGTACAAATTTCAGCATTTACTTTTCCCACACACATCTTATTGACAGCTGGTCCATACTATGCTCTACTTTATTTTACAGAAAAAAACAGACTTACTGCACAGCAGGTTTCTAGCCATTGTCTTGCTTAATGCACTTCTTAATCCGCGGGATAATAAAAAGGTCCACACCAAAGCAAGATACCCTGATTATTACATAGGACTCATGTTAAGTCTAGAAGCCTCTGATGCTATTTAAAATCATAATATTTCACAGAGAACATTTACTTCTAGCTTTTCTCTCTGTCACTTTAGTTTTCTGCTGTTGTGATCTAGCAATAAATGCTTGCAAACCCACTCTAACAAGGTATGTCCATAATTGCTTTTCCTCTTCAATTTAAACTCAGTTTTTCATTTGTAATTTTCTTTTTGCTTTCAAATTAGCAATGCCTTGCTGTTGTCTAGATTCAATTTACAAAGATAGGACACAATCACTCACTCTAGCTTACTTGCTAAGCCACTTAACAAACCATGTACCTAAAACTTCATTTGTATAATTCTATGACAGATAATCATGCTTTGTTTTATAGCTAATATTAGTTAGAAATTTATCAATTGCTTAATTTATACAGGGTGCATTACCTAGCTTTCGAAATTTGCATGTACACTTTAAACAACTTTCACATTACATTCTCCTGAACTTATAATCAGTGCCCTTTATACTAGCTTTTACTAGCACTTTGACACTCATTAGGTAAATGCTAAGCTTATAAAAAATGCTCTTTTTGGTACATTTACCTATAAAGCTTTGCCTTACTAAAGTTACCACTTCCTTTTATACAAGCCTTAGTTGATAATATGCTGATAATTCAAAAAATTTACAGAATTTGCTTAATTAGAACTCAGTATTAGCTAGCCATATTCAGACTTCATTTATCTGGACCATAATACACAATCTAAAAATGGTTAAACTTTTCTTTATCTTCAAGTTTGCATGGAAACCATGCCTTAAAATTCAATCTCAAAGAGAATTGCTTAGTTCTGCATTAGTGAAGATAATAGGTTTTGCATGTGCAGTTGAAAAAAAAAGGACTTATTTTTTTGGTAAAAACAGACATAATAAATAAATCCACACAACACCAATAGATAACCATTAGTACTTAGAAAATACAACTTATAGCAATAATAACTACTACTTGGGAAATTTAAAGACAAAGTACAACTGATAAAAAACAACAACTAGCTACTCCCACTTTGAAAATCCAGCTTGAAGCTGGTATTACATGAAAACAACAATAATAAGACCTTTTTAGTTAAGAACCAGCATTAGTAAGCCTAAAAACCTACAACAAGTGTGGATATAAATTAAGAGCTCCCTTAGAAACGACCACCATAAGAAGCATCACTCTGAGGTGAATATTCCGGGCTTGAATGGTGGTGGATGTCATCCAAGCCAAGAATAATCTTAGGCTTGCTGGTTCCCTCTGTTGGAGTTTCTTTCTTTGGGCTTGGCTGCTTATCTTCTGGCTCAAAGCAAAGTGCTTGCACAACTGCTTCCAGGTTCTCCACCTTCTGCTCTAAAACAACAACCCTTTCCTCCAGAGGGCTTGACCTTTGCTGGTTGGGGAGGTCACCTTCTTTACTGCTTTCCATCTTACTCTTTCCTTTACTGGACATTGCTGCCTACTTTGTTCTGAGAACACTAAGCTACAACACTGTAGGGGAAAAAATGAAAAAGAAGGCTTGTAAAATTGTGAACACTTACCTTTCTTTTATATATGGTTAAGTGTCACTCTATTGTCTGCAAGTTAAAGATGTTCCTGCTAAAATAATTATTCATACTAGATTCCCTCATGTGCCTTACCATTCAATACAAGTGGCAAAGTTAATAAAATAAAACATATATCATCCTAGATTATTTGTACATTTGAAAATCCAGTTATAGCATATTAGATTGTTAGCTACAACAAATAATGTGTGACTCTGTAAAATAAAACAACTTAGACCCATGTAACATTTTTATTTAAACTCATGTCCACAGATGAAACCTGAATACACTCCTTTGGACAAGCTTTCACCTATAACGAAAGTATACAAAGAGCGGGTTACCGTGAAAGAAAAGTCCCCTATCCGATCTCCTCCTAACAAAAAAAGATTCCAAAAGCTGGTATTCGAAGACGATGAGGTAATATGTTACCATTTACCCTTCTTATTTTCAAATATATAAGCATATGCTACTGCACATCAGCTTAATATTTTTCAATGCAGGGAAACAGCATGAAAGCTACTTTGTTCGGAGATGAATGTGACCACTTCAAGAGAGTCTTTGAACACAAGAAAAAGTATGAAATTGCTAATGCTCTAGTCAGAGTCGTAAACCCCAAGTTCAGTTCCTTCCCAGGCGAATGTGAGCTAACCTTTGGAGGCATGACTAAAATCCAACCTGTTGATCGAACTGAAGGACCTGTATTGCCAGAATACATCCCTATTGTTGATGTCCCTAAGACCAGTGGTCAGGATGATCGGTTTGGTAAGCTGCTTGTATTGTCATCATTGCATGAAAACTTCCTTTGTGTTTACTACCTAAGACCACATCATCTCTTAGCCATATTGAACTCATCTACTGCCGCTTGCTAGATTTGCTAGGCGTAGTGGTCCACATGGAAGATGTCCGCCAAGTGACATACAAGTCAGGCAGAGTTGCTGATGTGCGCGATATAAGCATTGTTGATGAAAGGTAACACCTCAGTTGCACATTAACAGCACCACTACCAATATACTAACCAAAATACAAACTTACAATTCCTTGCCCTTGCAGCACTGGTACTAGACCCATGATCATCTCTGCATGGGGTCAGCTTGCAACTTCTGATTATGAACTCCTTAAGGATTGGTCATCCAGCCCCTTGGTTGTAAGCTTAACTTCTCTTAAGCCTACAACTCACAGAGGTTATACACATTTACACCATCTATTATTTTAAATGTTCTGCAATATCAAATTACTAATGCAATCTTCACAGGCTTTTCTCTGCAATCAAGTATGTCTACAGAAATTAACCCAACCCCTGTTGGTGAGAAAGTTGAAGCTTTAAGATCCTGGTAAGTAAACAACCTTAGTGTTCCTGGTCAGCACTAAGATTACATTGTATTATAGAATTGTATTAAGCTTCCTTAGTTCAATTCACTTCTTCCTGCCCTTTTTACTGTCAATAGGGCTCATGCACATCCAGATGTCATTACTGACTATATGGCCAGGCAACTCGAATTCATGACTGTTGGTGTTGAACCAGTTCCTACAACACTTGATCAGATCCTCAAAAAAAATGTGAGCCTCTTTGGCAACTACTCCCTATCCCATTGCCACCAGCACTTAATTTTCTAACTCACCCTAAATATTCCAGGTTGACAACACTGTCCAAGAAGAGGTGTACACAATCACTGTCACAATTCCTGATGCACAGCTAAGCAATGTCATTGCTTACATTGGCTGTGATGGTTGTGGTAAACGTTGTGGAGTTGCTGCAAATGTACCATTTTTTTGTCCACATTGCCCTAACAAAAAATGCACTTCCACTGAAAGGTGCACTTTGCTTTTTAGCATGCTTATTTTATGCAGCCAACTACTACACTCAATTTTAAAACACTAACTCCAGGCCATTGCAGGGTTAATTTCACCTTTGATGCAACAGACAATACTGGAAAATTCCGCCTGACTGCCTTTGGTCTAGTATGTGAGAAAATCCTCCAGTTACCTACATTAGAAATATTTGAGAGGAAAATTAAGGTGCCTAATTAATCAAACAAGTGTCTTATTGAATAAAATCTCTTATATAAACCTATTCTTGCCATGACACTTTCTTCTATTCTATTTATCTTAGGATGATTGGAGTGACTTTGATCACCTTGCTGCAGCACTGAAGAACACACCAATGCACATCATAATTCACCCAGCACAGTCCTTGAACAGGGCAGGGGTACTTAGGTGGGTAGTGCAGTCAGTTTCCCGCGAGTGAATACTAAGTCTGCTGATCTACGGACTCACATCAGAACATATCGTTCTCGATGAGCGTTGCTTATCATTTTGAGTTGTGTTCTTGTTTGAGACCTTAGTAATTGCTATTAGAAAGTTAGCTATTCTCTAATCACTTGCCAAAAAGACTTGCTTTTGATTGGCACTTAAATCTTGCTTTTGTTTGTATGTTGTTGTTTTGTCTTGCATGCAGTTTCGCTCAATTTGTAAAAAAAATTATTTGTTGCATACTAAACTAAGGCTTCAATTCAGAAATTTCTTGTACTATATACTCTAATGTTTCACAGTCAATGCATGATTTGTGTCAGTTAGCAGCTATTTCTACCATTTTTAAAAATTTCCTTACTAATAGTCAATCTTCTTGCCTTTCCCCTTCAAATATCACACATAATCATTAATTTTGTTTTAGTTCTTCCGAATTAATGTGTACGGCTTTCTAGCAATTTTTTCCTTACTTTTTACGTGCTAAAGCTCTCAAAATGCATCGTCTAAATATTATTAATAACTACATTGCCGTATAGCACGCTAAAGCAACAAATTTCAGTTGAGTTTTTCTAGGACAAGTATTTTTTAGTTATAACGAAAAATCCCATTAGTTAAACAAGTCATGGCTATTAGAAATTAGTATTAGAACTACAACAAAATAGGCTTCCTGATATGTACTTGTTCTACGCGAATTCACAGCACCAAAATTCTGCCAGCATTACATAGATTGAAAGATCAAACACTCTTTGTTTGTGAATGATTTCAATGCTCAACTGATTTTCCCTGCCAAACATTCTACAACTCTGAAAATTCACCTATATCAAAATGGACTGCTTCCATTCTTACCATTCTACAGCTAATAATTTGCTGGTGATTCAACTAATAAATGGACTGGTAATTATTGATAATTTGACAGAATAGTTGAATAGCTTACCCTATCCTTCAATCCATTTCAAATAAGCCATTTAAAATTGAAATGCATATAAAATTCTGCAGCAGAAGCTCATTGCCAAAATTATCAGACTAAATTAAATTCTAGGGATTTTGAGTGACAGGAAATCTGGTAATTAATTTACACTAAGTAACCCTATCACTCAGCTCCACAGTTCATGTGAAAGACAAACCCAGAGCTTAGCAATTTATATTACACAATGCATCACATGTTAAGTTCATTTTCCACATTTTATTGCAGACAAACTTCCCTCACACAATAAATGTGTAAAGGTTAAAATTTGCAGACAGTGATGTACTTAAACACATGTTAAACAACACATAACACATATTACTAACTACTTAAGAAGCACACACAGAGTGACAAACAACAGCAAGTTTATACTTTCTCAAACACAATGACCAAAACTTGACAGCAGTTATACTAAACTCAACAATCAGCCTTACTTATGCCAGTAAATTTACCAACATTCATTTAATTTCTTCCCTTATTCTTCTCCAACAAAATAAAAGCCAATCTATCGAAAAATGATGCTCACTTCTGTCCTTCCTGATTATACAATCAGACCCTACACCCAAAACCCCACAAGCCTTATTTCTAGCACCAACACACTATCTTGTGCCCCAATAGCTCTCTTGAGTATTCACTTGCTTTCATACATACAACATCAATGTATGTAATTATACAAAAACTCCTCGAATAAATCAAAATAGGCTTATAAAATAAATCACAATAGAAGACCATGTCATACTATACTAAATATATGTCCGAATTAATGGTAATTCCAGCATAATCATATTCATTCACAAGCAATATCCACCTTCAACAATAGCAAGCATGCTGTAATACACCACTAGCAATAATTCAAAGCATGTTTTGTGAACAAAAGACCCCTACAATCATGTATCAATACATCTAACATAAATACATAACTTAGGTTCAAAATAGATAATGTCTTAAAATAACTAAGAAAGACCTAACATAAAGCTACTTCACAGAACAAAAACACAGAAAGCTTTGAATCTTAATCAGAATCAAACCCATAAGCTTCATCATCGCTTTCAGACATATCCGGAGAATAATAATGGTAAGGATGACCATTAGCTGACTCATAAGTATCACCTTGCTCCTCAGCCTCCTCTTCCTCATCTGCATCCTCCTCCTCTGAATCCCTTTGCTGCTGCTGTTGTGGGCTCTGTTGCGCTGCACCAACACCCTGAACCCCAACAACATGTTCCTCTTCCTCTGCTTCAGCAAATGCACCCACTAACAATAACATGTTTCACTATACCTTCATCCTTGCTGATATCCATATCAGCCTCCCCTCCTTCGACCCCAGCACCAAACACCAACTTAGTACCACTGCATTGTCCTCTGAATTTAGACGGCTCACCCTGCACACCAACATATCTTATCATTCTCACTGGTGTTTCGTCATCATCAGAATCGCTGTCGACTTTGATTGGAGTTTCATAGTTACTTCCGGGTTCATGTTTCTTGCCCTGCGTTCCTGGCTTTTTCTCTTTAGCCTTGCTTTTCCTCTTAGCCACCTCATCACACTTTGCTATCTGCGCATCACAGTCCTTCATCTCATCAAGCACTTCATCCATCTTCTTTTTAGCTTGTGTTTGAATTCCTCCCCAGGCCACAAACTGGCCACGAAGGCTGTCTTTGCGCTTGACAAGGAAATTCCGGTACCAATCATCAAAGATGCTATTACTATCATCAAATCCAGACATGGTGTTGTTTAGATCTTTCAATTAGGTGTGCAGATGGAGAAGATGAAACGGGAGAAATTGAGAGGAAGGGTATTCAACTTTCAAGAATGTAAAACGAGTTTGGGAAAATGTGAGAAAATGATGATTATTTTCTCTGTTTTCAAGCAACGCAAACCATCAATTATCGTAAATGTCTTTTCAGTTGTCTATCATACCATGCAAAAGAAGAAGAAAAATTACACTGTTTCATACAATGCACCTATTCGCGCAAACACTCGATTATAAAAGTAATTTTTTAAAAAAAAAAAATTTGTTAAAAAAAAAGCCTACATATAAATAATCCCGGATAATTTTTTTTCTCTTCACATATGTCAAAAACCTTTTATATTAGAATGTATTACAATTTGTTATTAGATAATCCAATTAACTCATGAAATACATATCTAAATTGATTTATAATTTCTATTTATTACAATACCAAAATATGTGTATAACATATTAAAATACCAAAATATGTGAGAAAATGATGATACACTTAACTTATTGTAATTGTTATTTCATAACACAATAAGCTAATAATAACACTCTTATTCACACTATAAGAAGTTATTATTCTACCAACACACTACATTAAGAATCAGCACTCAATTGTAATGTGATATCGAATACTATAGGATTTCCATGAAAATAACTAATAATCGCTCCTTCATCAATTTGTATTTCATAATAGTCAATCGCAGCATCAACTCCATTTTTGATGAAACATTGAATAAGCTTTTCATCACGCCTATTGATTTTCAGCTGAGCATCAAAGCGAGTATCATAAAGTTGCACAACAACATCCGTTGATTTTGGAAACAAGCCAAAGTGTGCTTTAGCAAACCCCAACGGAACATTCTGCATCAAATCATCAAACATGATTAACAACACAACAAAAAAAAATAAACCATGAAAAATAATCATTGTGTAAACATAGTCTCACAAAAACTTACAATAATTCCTTGATCATAATATGCTTTAGAAAACACAAACTTAAAAACATCCCTTCCCAATCGGTTGCCAAATCATTCAACCACGCATGTGTTTTGGCTATTGTTTCCCGATACCCTTGCACAAAAGGCTTGCGCCCACACACACCACCTCTACTAGCCATCACATATCAAATAATTCACTTTTTCATGCAAACAACTACAATTACTTAGCCATTATTTATACACAAATAAACACTAAAAGCACAACGTTCAAACTTAAGACAAACTACAATAAATATCATTTACCAATTCACATTAGTCACCCATAACTCCAAAACTAATTAACCTTTTTCAATACATACACAAACTCTAACATCTACCATAAATAATAATTTTCCAAAGTCAACAATAACCATCCACCTTAATTCAATGCCTAGCATTCCAATCTCCAATCAACAACACATTAGTCACCCATAACTCCAACACCAATTATTCTTTTTCAATGCATAATATACAAACTCTAACATCTACCATAAATAATTATATTCAAAAGTCAACAATAACATCCAACCTAATTCAATACCTAGCATTCTAACTCCAACTTATAAATTTAAGTGAATCTTTAATAGATTACTTGACTTCTACATGTAATATAGATTATCTATAATTTTAAAATAACATATACATGCAATTTTTACATCAATAATATTCTAACACTTCGTATCAATATATATGATGTATATACATCACTCTGTTTATGATACACAAGGAAAAAATGCATAAAATCTAAAGTATATTATTACATATACTTATACTATTTTTTTCCCTAATCCTCAATACTCCCTTACATTAAAATTCACAACTACACACTTTGTATTTTATCTAGAAATCATAGCATACATACATTTCAATTTTGTTAAACCCCCAACATTGCCCAATTTCTAAACACGACAAGCGAACGTGATTAACAAACCATAAGCGCGCGTAGCGCGCTCTAGCCCCCTAGTAATTAAAAATCTTAGAACACACATTTTAAAATTTAGAACATATAAGTTAAAATTTTGGAACAAGTTATTTAAAAATTATGATATTAAATTTAATTAATTTATGATTTAGAATATGTGAGTACTAAATTAGAACATTTTGATTTAATTTAGAACACTTGGGAAAAAGTTTAGAACATCAGATTTAAAATTTAGAACATAAAGGGTGTTCTCACATAAGAAAAATTCTCTCTCTCTCTCTCTCCACACACACACACACACACACACACACACACACACACACACACACACACACACACACACACACACACACACACACACACACACACACACACACACGAATTTGATACACACACACACACATACACACACGAATTTGATATGTATAGTGTGTATGTATGTAATTTTGGGTATGTATAGTATGTAATAGCTAGTATGTTTAATCTGAAAAGATTCTAAGCCATATATTGCCAATTCAAAGAGTATGAAAAGTCAAATGTTACCGTTAAATGAGCGATTAAATCAGAATAATGAAGATCATTTAATCACAATAAACAACCATTTGAGTAATAGCCAAAGATCAATAAGGAATCAAGGAGAAAGAGTAGAAAGCCAAATAATGAATATAAACATAAAAAGTCTACCCCACAACTTACGAGTTGGCAAACTTGGTAGGCCACAACTTATTTATGGAGTAAATTGATCGTACTCTAGAAAAGTTACAAACCAATCGAGAAACATAACTTTTGCTCTCTTTGCTCCAATACTATTAATTTTTAAAGAAGATAGATACATATAATTGTAATTCAGGTATCCTTCTTATATATAAAAAAAAATTAAAAAAAATTAAAAAAAAAACGAAAAATGGGAAAAAAGATATATAATAATTGACAAAGTATTTGCACATGGAGAGTCAACTGTCAATACCAAAATATCGTGGTATGTTAATAATAACTTATACCGTGCTAATCGTGCTACATATAAAACTCATCAAACTAAACCCCAAACACAATGCAACATCATTACAGACTGTTAAGGGTGTTACAACAAAATTTTCCACCGACTAAATAACACTAAACATATAGTATTATTTTGATTTAATTATTGCTATAAATATTCTACTCATAATAGATGGAATTTCATCAACTAAACAACCAAAGTAAAGTGTCTTATTTTTGTTTTTCTGAGTTAACCACTCTTATAGCCAACAATTTAGCTCAGCATAGACATGGGAATCAAGGTTCATGGGATCCCTCACGGTGCCACCCTTCGTGTTTTGGCCACGCTACAAGAAATGGAGATCGATTACGAATTGGTTCTAGTTGACATGAGATCCGGTGCTATTAAACAAGAACCTTTTCTTTCTCTTAATGTAAGCATTTTATCATATTATCTCCGTTTTGCTAAGTTCGACTTGCTATTTCTTTCGTTTGCATCTCCCAATTTTGCATTTTAACTTCATTTCTTTTATTGACAATTTTATGTATAGTACTATTTACATTACTCCTTTATGTGGGGCCAATTGTATTTAATTAAAGGAAAAATGATATATACAATCCTAAGGACTGCATATAAAAAGTTAAAAATGAAAAGAATTGACCATAGATAAACATTTATTACACTGATTTACTCGTAAATTGTCGATAAACTCCCAACTTAATACTACAAAAGGAAATATATTAAATGTTTATAGGCAGCTCTATAGCATTACCTAGAATTAAAAGATTTATTATTCTCTATCTATCTTCCGTAAAGCTTATTACTCTACAACAAGATTTCAATATAATTTCCTTTCAAATGTTTTGATATTTATACCTTAAATTAAACTAATCATTGTTAGGTCTTGTTCCCTTCACCTTATTTTTGCTGAACTAAAATTAAATTTACTAAACCTAAATTATTTTTGCTGAACTGAAATGATTTTTACTGAACTAAATTAATTTTGATGAACTGAAATTAATTTAACTGAATTTCTATTATATTTCTTCTTTAAAGTTACTGATTTTAACTGAACTGATATTATTTTTACTAAAATTAACTTAATTACTTAACTGAACTTATTTTTACTGAATTGAAATTATTTTTACTTAAACTTATTTTTTTAAGCTGAAATGAACAGGGCCTACTAAGGAAAATTTGGCTCACTTGTTAAAATTGCTTTCAGTTACCACCATATATTATAGAATTTTATTGTAAAATGAGGGTATTTATTTAAAAATAAAGAATCCCTGTAATTCCATTTATCTAGAGTTTCATTAGAGTCCTTCAGCAAAGATTTCATGCATAAAATTTAAGGCTCGTTGTTGTTTTACTTTTACATAGTAGATTATATAATATATATATATATATATATATATATATATATATATATATATTATATATATATATATATATATATATATGTAGCTTACATTTTTATAAATTCTTCTTTTTCTCTTGTTGTTTTAGCCATTTGGTCAAGTTCCAGCATTTGAAGATGGAGATCTCAATCTATTTGGTAAGAAATAATGCACTTTAAGTAAATTACATTAATTTATTTATTCATCACCACCCTAATTTCTTGATTTGCGAAACATAAAATTAAATAAGTCAACATGCATATTTTTATTGCAAGTGTAATTGAATAAGTTTATTTCAAGTTGTGTGAGGTACAAATATCTATTTTGTATCATTATAATCACGCAAATTGAATACCTTATTATTTTTTAGAAAAATATATGTTTATTAATATACCACATCAATTAAGAGTAATATATGGATTTGTTACTTATTAAATTGAGCAACGCACAATAGTAACGTTGTGATCTTGTGATTAAGGGTCTATTCTCTTCAGCTTATTTTTATCTCAGTTTAGTTTGGTTTAATTAAATTCAATTCAATTTCTAATCTTGTTTCCCTCATAAAATATTTAGTTCAGTTCAGTTTAGCTCCAACCAGTACAGTTCAGTAAATCAGAACAGACATAAGGTTATGTTATTTATGTAACTTTGATTAAAACTTCACTAACATTAAACAGAATCAAGGACAATTACAAAATACATAGCACACACCTACGAAGGCAAAGGAGCTTCTCTTATAAACAAAGACAAAAACAAAATGGCAAACATGGCCGTGTGGATGGAAGTCGAGGCTCACCAATTCGATCCTATAGTTAGTAAACTCATTCATGAGCTTCTTTACAAGGTTCATTTCGGCAAGAAAACAGACAACGCGATTGTTGAGGAGAATGAACCTAAGTTTGCTAAGATCCTCGACGTTTATGAAGCTCGTTTGGCAACGTCAAAGTACCTAGCTGGTGAATGTTTCACATTGGCTGATCTTCACCATTTGCCTTCACTTAACTACATGATGCGTACAAAAGTGAAGCAATTGATCGATGAACGCCCTCATGTTAGTGCTTGGTGTAAGGATATCTTGGCTAGGCCTGCTTGGCAAAAAGTTTGGGCTTTGCATAAAAGAGGTTGAACTAAAGTTTGTTCTTAAATTGTTTTAATTTGATGTTTTATTGATTGTGTACCAAGGTTATGATTGTAATTTGAAATATATTGCATTTATAAATCTATATAGGTTCTTTCTTAATTTTTATTTATGAAATAATAATTTTTTTATGCAAAATTATTAAAAAAATTAGGAAAATTTGTTGAAAACCATCTTATAACAACCAAATTTAGTTGAAATCCATCTTAATTTTTTTTTTTTTTGTCAAAGCACATCTGTTTAAATTTTTTTTGTTGAATCCCACCACTTTTCGAATTTCGACTATTGATTGACATTTTAGCGTTGATTAGCATATGCACCTCACGTGACTTACTTAAACCCCCCCCCCCCTTTCTATTATTTCCCCCCTTTTTCCTTTATTCATTCCCTTTTGTCACTTACAATTCTGTGCGATTTTATAAAGGCTTTAAAAACCAAATTATGATGAAGAGGAGTGACAAAGAGGGGAATGAATGGAGGGAAAAGGGGGAAGATAGAAGAAAAGTAGAGTTAAGTGGGTCATGTGAGGTCCACATGTTAGTCAACGTCGGAAATGTAAGTAATTAGTCAGAACTCTGGAAAATGGTGAGACTTAACAAACAAAAATAACTTAAAACAGGTGTGCCTTGACAAATTTTTTTTTTTTTTAAAAAAAAATAGGTGTGTTTTGACTAAAAAAATTTATAAGATGGTTTTCAACAAAATTTGGTTTTTATAAGATATTTTTCAACAAATTTTCCAAAATTAATATATAAACGATAGGGTACATAGGGCTTATTAATATTTACTGAACTTAGCTGAATTGATTGGATCTGAAGTGAACTAAACTGAATAGAGATGAAATGAATATTTTATGAGAGAAGGAAATTAGGAGCATAACTGAATTGAAATTAAGCTAAAGTGAACAGGCCCATAATGTATGTTCGAGGAATGAATTAATAATTTTTTATGCAAATTTATTAAAAAAATTTTAATAAACAGAGGAAGTCTGTATGGACGAAAAAAAATCCCAAGATTGTGATCGGATTTGTGTGGGTGGTGATGCAATAGTTCGTAAAAGAAAGAAATGAAGGATGTAATCCATAATTGTAAGTTTAGTATCATTCTCTTTCCCCTTCAAAATAATTGTGTTAGATCATTTAGAAATGTTGCAATTATTAATTAAAGGAATGTGCTTTAGGGCCGGTATGAAATATTAAGTTGTAATCTTAGCACAATCATGTAAACCACGAAAGTTGGCCTATCCATGAAAGCAATTTGTAGTTATTAGTTGACTTGAATATGGTTTACATGAAGACAACTTTTAGTGAAAGAGAGCGAGGGAGGGGTGCGAGGGTTGGTGGTTGTATTAATTAAATACTTGCACAATCAGCATTGATTAACCGCCTTTAGAGAATAACCACTTCGATGTTAAAGTAAGGGTCTGTTCGACAAACTTAGCTATAGATGTTGGCTATCAGCTTTTGAGTAGCTGTGAGTTGTAGAGGTAGCCGTGAGTTGTAAAGGTAGTTGTGAGCTGTCAAGTAGTAGCTGTTAGAGGTCAGTTGTCAAGGTAGTGGTTCATACTATGAGTGTTCGGTAAAAGTAGCGATTAAAACTATAAAATACAGTCATTATTATTATTATTATTATTATTATTATTATTATTATTGTGACCTGCTATGTATCATATGTTTGATAATTTTTAAAATTTTATAGTATAATGTATATTGCTAATAAATAATCAATTTATAAAATAAAAGATAAAAAAAAAAAAATCCTCGTAATGAAAGGAATAAAAGAAAAAAAATATATGAAATAGAAAATTTTGACATTATGGTTGACCGAAATAAATAACATTGAGTCAAAAAGATAAAAACATACTCATCAAAAAAAAATAAAATAATAATTGAACGCTACTTTACAATTTCAAAAGCTATCTTTTTTAGCTTTCAGTAACAACTACTTAAAAGCTACCTTTACCTCTAACAGCTACTTAAAACACTACTTCACCAAACACTTATATAATTTTAAGGTAGTGTTTTGACTAGGTCTAAAAGCTAACAACTACCTTAAAAGCTAATGCCGAACATGCCCTAAGTAAATAGATGATAAGAGCATAAAGGTGGTTTAAGAGTGTTTTTAATTAATAAAAATATAAAATTGTACCTTAGAATTGAAATTTGTTGAGGCATTTATTGAAATCCCTACAAAGATGTCACGTGTCGGTTCATGTGGTTGCTTGGTCAAGTGGGCGATAAGTGTCCACCTGATTGGAAGCAAATCTCCAAGTGAATGGCAAAATAGGTCAGAAAGAGAAACGAGCCAATATTTAAATGGATCCAAATACAAAGTTCCGATCCGATTAACCTATATCGGTGTTGTTATCATCGCGTACAATAATAATGTTATGCGGTTATGCCTCTAGACAACTTCGCGGAACCAAGTCCCAAAGACGACAATACATTACATCATCAATTACGTAGTTAAGGGAGATAAGTTCAAGATCTACACCAATTATTGTTAATTTAAAATCAAAAAATTCAAAGTAAACAAACTTATTTAATTGGAAATGATAACGAAAGTTATCAGTGGGACTACTTCAGCTCACACTTTAAATATTCTACTTAGTGTAATAGATGAGATTTCATTGTTAACAACCACTTTCATATATAGCCAACTTAATTCATCTCTTAGAGTATTCTCGTACATTAAAGTTTAAGGCATAGACATGGGAATCAAGGTTCATGGAATCCCTCACGGTGCAACCCTTCGTGTTTTGGCGACTCTTCATGAAAAGGAAATCGATTTCGAGTTAGTTCCCATTGACATGAAATCTGGTGCTCACAAGCAACAACCTTTTCTTTCTCTTAACGTAAGCAACTTATCGATGTTTTCTTTCTTCTTTGCAAAGGAGCTTTGTGATTATTTTAATTCTTTTATTTTGTGTTGTAACTTTAGCCTTTTGGTCAAGTTCCGGCATTTGAAGATGGAGATCTAAAGTTATTTGGTAAGATATACATACTCCCTCCGTGTCTTTTTTTTTTTTTTTAAGTGTTACAGTTTGACTGGCACATAATTTTAGACATTATTTACATAAAATAAAAGATAAGTGAGGTATTTGAAATGGAGTTAATACTTTATTGAAAAGTAATGAATGTGAGAGAAAAAATATAATAAAAAAGGATCGGATAATGTTATACGTAGTCCTAAGGGCTATATATAAGCATTAAATATACTATTGAAAATTGTATAAAATTAGGAATTTATGACAAAAACACGCGTAAATCAGTGTTATTAGTGTTTATATTTTTATGATTTCTTAACTTTTTACGATTTTCAAGTGTAAATTTAATGCTTATATGTAGTCCTAAGGGTTATGTATGACATTTTCCAATAAAAAATAGTAGTGGATTTGGATAAAACCATGAGAAGAGAGATGTATAATATTTTATTGTAGCTTTTTGCCAAAAGCACACACAACCGAATTTGGTACGTATAACACTTATTAAAACACGAAGGAAGTACTGATGATCCTTAACTAAACAAACATTGTCATTCCCCATGAAATTTAAGTATTATTATGTCAGATAATATATACTCTTGAATCAAAGTGATTTTCATTAATATCAATATTTATAGAATTACATTGAGAGTCCTAAAATATTATAAAGATTTGTCATATGAAATATATATCCTAAACTTAGGAGAAGAATATTTTATCGATATTCTCTATCATATTATATGTCCATGAACTCACGTTAGAAAATTCATTTTGTAATAAAGTATTTAATTACCTATGTTTAAACAGAATCGAGGGCAATTTCAAAATACATAGCATTCAACTATGAAGGAAACGGAACTTCTCTATTTTCAAACAAAGATGCAAAGCAAATCGCTGACTTTGCCGTATGGATGGAAGTCGAGGCTCACCAATTCGATCCAGTAGCCACTAAACTCAACTATGAGCTAGGTTACAAGCTTTACTTGGGCATGGAAACCGACAACACGGTTGTTGAAGAGTACGGAGCTAAGTTGGCTAAGGTCCTAGACGTTTACGAGGCACGATTAGCAACGTCAAAGTACCTAGCCGGCGATTCATTCACTTTGGCTGATCTTCATCATTTGCCTGCACTTAAATACATGATGCTTAATAAAATGAAGCAATTGGTCGATGAACGCCCTCATGTTAGCGCTTGGTGCAAGGATATCTTGGCTAGGCCTGCTTGGGTAAAGGCTTGGGCCATGCAAAATGATCTTAATTAATTTTAACTTATTGTCACCAACCTCATCAATATTAGCTTTGTAATGGTTGGTTGTACCATGTCCAATCTTGTATTCTTATATTATATTATGTTGGTGTTTTACTACTTGTGTTGCGTATCAGTTGTAATCGTTATTAATAAAAGTATATTTGGAAATCCAGTATATTATTGTTTTCTTATAAATGTATAATATTATACTCCGTACTCCATAATAAATTAAGCTTGGTCTTTCTAGCAATATTATAAACCTGAATTTTATTAATTTTAAATATTATACATGAACCTATAACGTCTACATGTCTATGATGAAAACGAGTAATTATTATTTTAATTAATAACTAATTGGCGGTTGGTGTAGTGGTGATTGGAACTACACTTGGTAGGGAGGACCCGTGTTCGATCCCCCGCAACAACAATTGGGAAGCTAAGGGACTGGAACCTAACCACCCAAAAGACCAAAACTGATCCCTGAATCCGGATTAGTCTAAAGGGTGAACTGAGTAGGGAAAAATAATAATTGAATAATAGAGAAATATATGACCTAATATAAGCTATGTGTGTTCCATTGACTTTATAGTTCATATAGCGACAAAAATTAAGAAATAAAAAAGCTAATTTGAGCCAATAACCATTATTGTGCAAACTTTTACAATTATTACTTAGACGAAAAATAGTGAGTCAAGTCTGTTTAGAATAGCAGAAGTATAGAGAATGTTTTTAGGGTTAATTTTTCTGTGTATTACTCTGTAGAAGATTGGTACATTTATACAGGAGGAAACAAAGAAAAATAAGGAAACTGTTATACAAGATATATGCCTAACATAATTAGTCATATTATGTTCCTATAATTAAGAAGCTAAATATGACTATTTCCTACACTCCCCCTCAAGTTGGGCACTCGGAATCCCAATGCCTAACTTGCGCAAAGTATTACTGAAGGCTTCAGTACTGACAGCTTTTGTTAGGATATCTGCCAACTGATCCTTTGATCGAACAAATGGAAGTTTGACGATCTTATCTTCTAGCTTGTCTTTGATGAAGTGTCGATCAATCTCAACATTTTTTGTTCTGTCATGCTGAACAGGATTTCCAGAAATACTTATTGCTGCCTTGTTGTCACAAAACAATTTACAGGCTGTTTTCTGAGGAAAACCAAGCTCATTTAACAGTTTTCTAATCCACAGGATTTCAGTTATCCCTTTCACAATTCCTCTGAACTCAGCTTCTGCACTTGATAAGGCTACTACTTTTTGCTTCTTGCTTCTCCAAGTGACAAGGTTTCCTCCTACCAAGGTGAAGTATCCAGAAGTGGATTTCCTTCCATCCCGGTCCCCGGCCCAATCTGCATCGGTGTAAGCAATTATATCGAGGTTATCATTTTTGCCAAAATAAATCCCGGTGCTGCTTGTACCCTTTAGATATCTCAGGATCCTCATTACGGCTGTCATGTGATGTATTTGAGGGAGATGCATGAATCTACTTACTACCCCTACTGCATATGCGATATCTGGTCTTGTGTGGGCTAGATAGATGAGTTTTCCCACAATCTTCTGATATTGTTCCCTATTGGTTACCTTTGCCCCTTCTACGATATGAAGACCATGATTTGCTACAATTGGAGTGTCGGCCGGCTTACATCCTAACATTCCAGTTTCAGCTAAAAGATCGAGAATATACTTTCGTTGATGAATAAAAATCCCTTTCTTAGATCTTAGGACTTCTATACCAAGAAAGTATTTCAGGTTTCCCAGGTCTTTCATCTCAAATTCTTGAAACAACTTCCCTTTCAAGGCAGCAATTTCTTCCTCATCATCTCTGGTGATGATCATATCATCTACATATATGATTAGACAGGTGATCTTCTGGTTTGCCCTTTTTATGAATAAAGTGTGATCAGAATTACTCTGGCTATATCCGAACTTCTTCATAGCCTTAGTAAACCTTCCAAACCAAGCTCTTGGGGACTGTTTTAAATCATACAGGGCCTTCTTCAACTTGCATCCTTCTCCAACCTCAAAATCATGAGAATATCCTGGGGGAGCTTCCATATAGACCTCTTCTTCAATGCTTCCATGAAGGAAGGCATTTTTGACATCAAACTGATACAAGGGCCAATCTTTATTTGCTGTTATAGAGAAAAACACTCGTATCGTATCTATCTTGGCTACCGGGGAAAACGTCTCTGAATAATCGATCCCATAAGTCTGAGTGTAGCCCTTGGCCACCAATCTTGCTTTGTATCTTTCAATAGTTCCATCTGCCCGGTGCTTAATGGAGAACACCCATCTACGTCCCACCTTCTTCTTTCCTCTAGGCAGGATACATTTTTCCCATGTCTGGTTCTTTTTCAAGGCAACATACTCATCTTCCATAGCTTGTCTCCACTTCTCATCTTCAAGAGCTTCTTCCACGGTTTTAGGAATGGTTGTGGAGTATAGGGAGGCGGTGAAGGCAACAGCTGTGTTAAACAAGTTTTCATTGTTGATCTTTTCTATGGGGTATTTAGACCGTTGGTCTTCATATTCCGGGTCATATCTTTTGGGAGGAACACCTCTCATGCTTCTGGGAGGTAACTCATATCTGTTTAGACAATTTTCACTAGGAACAGATACAAAGTCAGTAGGAACAATACATGATTCATGGTTTTCAGAGTTTACCTCAACTGATATTGACTCAGGGTGCTCAGTGGTCGCCATTGGAGTGGATTGAAGAGAAGGAGCTGATACTGACGTTTCAGTGGCAACATCGGTGGTATTGCCTACTTGTGTTGGAGGGTCATGGTCCATCATTTCTGGATATATTAACCAGCTAAGGTCATCACTCGTAGTCTCCCCCTGAGGACCAAGCTGGGTATAGTAATAGGAGTGTTCAAAGAACTCACAGTCAAGAGTGGTGTAGATTTTATTTTGAATGGGATCATAGCATTGGTACCCTTTTTTATTAACCCCATACCAAATAAAAACGCATTTAATGGCTCGTGGTTCAAGTTTATTTCTAACCCTTTTTGGAAGGTGAACATAGACAACACATCCGAACACCCGAGGAGGTAAAGAATGATAGGAAGGAATGGAAACATGGGAAGAAAGAGTGCCAAGAGGTGTTTGGTAGGCAAGAGGTTTTGTAGGTAGTCGGTTGGTTAAATATGTGGCTGTGGCAATAGCTTATGGCCAAAAATGGACAGGAACATGGGATTCTAACATAATGGCTCTAGTAATTTCAAGAAGGGTTCGGTTTTTCCGTTCAGCTACCCCGTTTTGGTGGGGAGTATCCCGGCAGGTGGTCTGGTGAATAAGGCCGTGATTAGAAATAAACTGTTTCATATCCAGGTTTATGTATTCTCCCCCGTTATCAGATCGGAGGATTTGGGGATGGGCATCGAATTCAGTACAGATCATGTTGTAGAAATTTATAAACACATCATACACTTCAGATTTATTTTTTAGAAAATAAACCCAACTCATACGGGTGCAATCATCCACAAACAAGACAAAATAAGAATAGTTATGAAAAGCAAATTCAGGTGCAGGACCCCATACATCAGAATGAATTAAAGTAAATGGTCTAGCAGCATGAGTCAAACTAGGAAAGTAAGAGTGTTTATGGATTTTTGCAAGTACACATGCTTCACAATCCAAAACAAAATCAATGTCCTTAAAAGAGGGAAATAATCGTTTAAGATAACCGAAAGATGGGTGACCTAGCCGTCGGTGCCACATCCAGATCTGATATTCCGGTGACCCATGAGCAAGCAAAGCGTTACCCTGTTGAGTCTCCTCGTCCACATAGTATAAGCCTCCTCGTTCAATACCACGACCAATGATCCGCCCTGTCTGAGCATCCTATACAATACAATCAGAAGAAGTCATTAGAATTGTACAGTTTAGTTCCTTGGTTAATTGACTAGCGGATAAGAGTTTGTGAGTAAGACTCGGAATTAAGAGACAATTTTTTAAATGAATTTCTGATGTAATATCTACATCTCCGGCCTGAGTAATTGGAATAAATTCCCCATTTGCAGTCTGAATCTTGGTACGGGTAGTGGATTTGGAGGAATGAAAGTCGGACGGGTCGTAGGACATAGTGTATGTGGCCCCACAGTCAAAAATCCAAGTGGATTTATTGCACATGAGGCCCAAACCGTAAGTTGTATGAAGGGAAGGAGTGTATTGGGCTTTAGTGGGTTGGGCTTCTGATTTAAAAGGAAAAAAATGAGGGGTACAGGGTGTTTGAGGGTTTCCGGTTTTTATGTTGTGGGTTTCATTTGTTGCCTCACAGAAAGTTTTAGAGGAAGCTTCCTCTAGAAACCTTCCATGTCCTTTTTCCGTCAATTCCTCCGTTTTCAGCCATGGTTCACCAGAAAATCCGGTGAACCCATCCTCGCTACTCGTACCTGTTCGCCTGTCAGTGACGGTAGTAGGTGGGTCCCCACTGGTATTGGTCAGTTCGCCTTCTCCGATGGCGGCATTAGCCTTGCCGCCGGTCTTTGTGGCCTTGGTGGCGGCTTTGCGCTGTCTTAGGTCCTCCCACCATTCTGGGTAGCCGATGAGCTTAAAACACCCCTCCTTCGTGTGTTTTGTCCCCCCGCAATGGCTGCACTTTAGGTGGTTTTTATCCTCTCGCCGGGATGAGGAATCCGAACGGCGTTGGGCGACGAGACCACTTCCAACCTCTGAGGGACCTCGTCCCAGTGATGAGTCGCCGGTCATTATACCGCAACGGGCAATTTCCCGTCTAATAGAGGCATACGCGGCATCAATGGTTGGAAGGGGATCTAAATACAGAATATCTCGTTTTTCCTTGTCAAGCGAGTCATTCACACCGGCCAAAAACTGATACAACCTCTGTCGTTGTATAAACGAGTTAAACAATGTGATGTCCTCTGCGCATTTCATCGGGTTGGGCATTCGTCTATCAATTTCTTTCCAGAGGGTATTTAATTTGCTAAAATACACCTCTATAGTGTTAGTCTCTTGTTTCATAGAAGCATCCTTCGAATTCAGATCATAGATCTGCAATTCATCTCTCCCGCTACTGAGGAGAGTCTCAATACCTTTCCATAAATCTCGGGCAGTTTTATAGTCCAAGAACTGGTTTACAAGGTCTCCGTCAATATTCTCAATGATCCATGAAAGCACCATCGAGTCTCTTTGAGCCCATTGCTGGTACTCTGGATCGTCTAGTGA